CCACCTTCTCTTTATTTTTTTAAGGTCACTTATTTATTTTTCTAAAATTTTTTATTAGTTGCTCAAAACATTACAAAGAGTCATACAGATAGAAAACAAGTATATCACTAATCATCAGCAAAATCCAATCAGAAATGACAATGAGATATCAACTCATTCCAGTGAGAACAGTGGTTATCAAATAAACAACAACAAAAAGGAAGAATGAATTAGTATGTGAAAAAAAAAAGGAAAACTTGTACAACTGCTTTCTGGTAATGTAAGTTAGTTGCAGTCATTTTGGAAAAAAATGGATATTTCTCAAAAAATTGACATAGAACTACCATGTGTTTGGGAAAACCCACTTTATTGGGTATGTAGCTAATGGAAATGAAATCAATATATTGAAGAGACTTCTGTACTCCCRTGTTCATTTCAGCACTATTGACAATTGCCAAAATGTGAAAACTTCCAAAGTCGCCATCAACAGAGGAACCAATAAAGAAAATGTGGTATATGTACACATAATGAAATACTGTCATTCAGATAAAAGARTGAAATCCTGTAATTTATGAAAATGTGTGGAACTAGAGAYTATGTTAGYTAAATAAAGTAATCACAGAAAAAAAACATAGCATTTGGACTTAAAATCAAACCCTTGACCTATAACAAAGTTCCCCTATTTTGTTTATACATTAAGTTTGATAATTTGTGAACAATTTATAGGATGATTTGAAGGRCAAAGGGACAAAATTCCATTATGAGTTAATATTTGTGTGGTGGGATTAGACCTTGCCTAGAATAACTTTTCTTAATTTCCTAAATATCATTGGTGTTGAATGGCACATGGACAATMCTGAGGAATCATAGCCACAGACTGAGGGTGTGTTCAGTATAAGAGTGCCAAGTGACAACATTACCCCTTATTCAGTCATTGAAATTCAGTTTAGATACTTATGAGATCAGAAATTTTGGCAGCACTGAAGATAGGGGACTTGCCAACTTAATGCTGTTTAATATTAATTAAACTTAACATAACTCAGTATTTGTTTTTCAGATATTCCCAGGAAGAAGACCAGAGAAGAAAAACTCTGCATTCATATTAATTATATGTATAGTTAAGTTACATAATCATAAATTTATTCATAGTTATACATTCAGATGATGTAATATGTATTATMATATATTCTATGTTTATGATTATTTCTAAAATAACTAAATGAGATAATGGATATTGTTATGCTTCGGATATGAGGTGTCCCCCAAAAGCTCCTGTGTTAATGCAGGAATATTCAGAGTGCTATAACCTAATCAGTCCATCCTATTTTGAATGGTTGGATGGGGTTGCAACTCTAAGAGGGTGAGGCATGGCTGGAGGGGTTGGATTCCTGGGAGTATGCCCTTGAAAGTTTCACTTGCCCTTGGCCCCCTATCCCTTTCTATCTGTGCTTCATGGCTACCATAAGGTGRGCAGCTTTTCCTGCTGTGTTCTTCTGCCATGATGCTCAGCCTCACCTTAGGCCTAGAGGATGAAGTTGGCTGACCATTGACTGAAGTTGCTTAATGATCTCAAAACAAACTTTTCCCTTTCTAAATTGTTCTTCTCAGGT